GCTCGGCGCGCGGAAGATGCGCTGGGAGGAAGAGGTGGCACTTCTACTGGAAGAGATGCGTCGCGTGATCGTGTATCGCCGGTGGAATGCATCACTGTGGCGGGAGCGTGGCCTGGAGCAACATGCCGGATTGGATGCCGAATATCAGCAGGGTCTTCGCGCATTCGCGGCGGAGCAAGCGAGCACTCTTGATGGCGAGGCACAGGATTTGGAGAATCACTGGAAGGACATTCGCACACTTGGTCAGGAGCTCTTAGATGGTCTACCCGTGTCGCACGTGATAGAGGTTGAAGTGGAGGCGGAAGAAGATGGCGGTAACGATAATGAAGACGACGTGGACATAGCAGAAGAATGAAATGTAGTGTACACCAATAACATCTGATTGTCATAGCATGGCTAGGAAAAGAATATGAGATTGTAACAGTGAGAAGAGACAGCGCGCTGTGAACGAAGCGGACTTCCCAATTAGGCAGTTACGGGAATGAGCCGTCAAGTTCACGGAGACAGTGCACTATCTGTGTTAACTGGCATTTATTGATACTTCGAGTACGTAGCTACACACATTTGTCACTCAATGCTCAGTGATGTTCCGTGTAATCGTCTGTCCCGACGAGGTAGCAAAGCGGGCGTGTTTTGGTTGGATCCGGATATTTCCGGATTTGACGATGATGTGGCGGCGGCGAGAAATTTAAGGCCATGATATCCAAGGTAAGCACAAGTAGGCAAGTATGGCACTCTGTGGCGTCTATATTAATCGCTGCATGGTACCAGTAATGTGTAGCGGGCGTGCTGAGTACCCGCTGGGTTCAATCACGTGGGTGATGTTCGGATCTGGGGGCAGTGCGTATTAATGAATGCTGAGCTGCCGGAATGAGTCGGAATATAGTCCTACTGCAGTACAAAGTAATTGAGACGATGATTGAGGCTCTGTAATGTGTGGCGCCGCCGCTGAACGGGTGCGCGGGTGCGGATTACAGCGGGGCACCGGGGGTAGTGCGCAAAAAAGAACGTTCAGCTGCTGGGATCAATCGGGATATGGTCCGACAGTAGTAGACACTCACTGAGAAGATAATTTATGTCTGCAGGATGTGTGGCGCAGGCGCTGAACGGGTGCGCGGGCGCCCGGACGCGCATGCATCCGGATTGGGACGTGCCCGTGATTCCTCGGGAATGACCGAGTCACGGCAATGCTCACCGAGCCCGGCATCACGGCACAGCTGACCCAGCCACGGCGCCGCACCCTGTACCCGCTATTTGCTGTATTAGGCAGGCGGTCCCGTATTATAATACAGACCCGCCCGTATTATAATACAGCCCCGCCATAGCGTCGGTTCTAATTAGAGCCTGTATTGTAATACAGTGCCCTCTAATTAGAGCACTGTATTATAATAAGGGTACAGCATAGGGTGCAGGAACGCGTTGCACAGCTGTTCAAAATTACACTGTTGGGGCCTATCAGCTGGCTCCTGGGCATGGAGATCATACGCGACAGAGCGGCCAGAACCATTTCCATCAATCAGACGTCGTACATTGATTCCGTGCTCCAGCGCTTCAACATGGAAGACTGTAAGCCGGCAGCCATACCTATGGACCCAAACGTGCAACTTTCACGCGACCAATGTCCCACCGACGCGCTCGAGATCGCTGAAATACAGCGACATCCATACAGAGGCGTGGTCGGATCCCTGATTTGGATCACGACCGGCACGCGTCCCGACTTGGCTTACGCGGCCACCATCCTCTCGCGCTTCAACGACAACCCCGGACTTGTACACTGGCACGCAGCGAAACGTGCACTACAATATCTCAAGGGTACTCGCAGCTGGAGGCTCACCTTTGGAGGAGATGGACAAGGCAGGGGTTTGGAAGGATTTGCTGATGCAGATGGGATGTCTATTGAGAATCGCAAGGCAATTTCTGGGTACGCGTTTCTCATCGACGGAGGAGCTGTTTCGTGGTCGTCTAAACAGCAGGATATCGTTGCACTCTCGACCACCGAGGCGGAGTATATCGCGTTGACATACGCAGGCAAGGAAGCCTTATGGATGCGTCAATTCATTTCGGAACTATTTACACCCCTCCATCATCCCATCATCATCCACGACGACAACCAGTCGGCACTCGCACTCGCTCACGCCGAACTTGGTCAATTCCATGCACGTACCAAGCATATCGACATTCGCTACCACTTTATCCGGTACGCGATCGCAAACGGAGACATCCGACTCGTCTACTGTCCCATAGACGACATGCTCGCGGACACGCTCACCAAAGCCCTTCCCAGCGCGAAGGCAAAACACTTTGCTCGCAGCTTTGGACTTGTTCCGGCTTGAGGGGGAGTGTTGAAGTCCAAGCCGGACTACTCGTTGGTTTTCTAATCCCTTCGTTGACGGACCCGCACTCACATTCCCCGACCCGCTCCCGTTACTTCCGACCCGCTACCGTTACCACCGATAACTTGTACTGACTCGTTTACTTACTTAGCTCCCCAGATTCCCCTTTAGATACACCTCATATTTACAGTATATAAACTACATACATTTGGACTATATACGGTGTGCATTCTCCTCCTCGTCGTCCGAGTCCTCTTGAGATCCAACACTTCGGTCTTCGGGCAGCGACCTTGCGCCGCACCAAATTCTGGCACCTCGGTCATCGGCCACAGCCTACAGGCCCTCTTGATGTCCTCCCGAAATTTCAGGATACACTTTAAAAGCAGGATTCATCTGTATCCTTGTAGTCAAGGTTCTTCTCTTCACAGAGGTCCCCCTTCAGCATGTCTGTCGAACCAGAAGTTTCCCTTGATACAATACGGCAGAGCGAGAAGGATGGCGCTCTCAATTCCGGTACGAATACGGACAAACACGTCCCTACCCATGAAGATTTCCCAGACGGCGGGCTACGTGCATGGTCGGTCGTTGTTGGGGTGCCTTCCTCTTTTTCTGTCTGATATTCTCGGTTTCTGACTTTTCATCTTGTAAAGTAGGCGATGTGCACCACGTTCACGACGGAACTCTGCTTGTAACAACCCAGGTGTACTCCACATCTGACGCGCATTTTAGGTTCAGATACGTCAATTCCTGGGGTGTACGTTTCTCTCTTGGCATGTCGGTGTGGTACGTGTTGACGTCATGATACAGGTCTTTCAAGCGTATTATCAGACCGATATCTTGAAGGATACACCGCCATCCAACATGTGCGTTTTTCTGTTGTGTAGAAAATGAGAACTGAGTGTAGAGCGTGCATAGGATCCATTCAATACTCCCTCGTCTTCCTCCCTGCGCTAGTTTCCTGCCGTCTGTTCGCCCTGGGCTATTTTCATCCTCTGTTACTAGTATCCAGTGCGCTTCTCGTAACAGCGACATTTCTCGTCGCAGAGTGTCATGAATACTGGCAGTTTCTGCTCTGTCAAGGATTCGCTGTTGGTGTACGCAAAGTATTGTTCGTCCTTGCTCATGAGAATCGAATAGCTCGCGTGTGGAGGGCTTATGAGCCCGACCACCGCCTTAATCGCACATTGGTTTAAGCGCAGGAGAGGACTTGCTATGGGTGTGTCGGCGATGGGATCGTCTTTTGGCGGCACGCTCATTCCCATCGCTGCGAGGAAGCTCATCCCGAAAGTTGAGTACGTGTTCCGTCTATCACTTAATAAGCACTCACACTCACGCCATAGCTTTCCGTGCACAATGCGCATAATAAAGTCGGGTACGCGTCTCACCTACGAACATGATCATTATTCATGCGCCCCAGCTTCCCATGGATGATGCGTATAATTGGCTTCATCCTCCTTGTCGGCCTTGGTCTTTCCAACCTTCTCGTCAGACGCCGCTTTCCACCCGTCACTACTAGCGGCGGACTCTTCAACCTGCGTGCCTTTCGCTCCCCCGCCTATTCCTTCTTCTGCGCTTCAACGTTTACTTCTTTCCTCGGCATATACACAGTCCACATGTACATTGACGTCTCGGTTACTGCGCATGGTGTAGACGAGAACTTTTCGTTCTATCTGGTGTCTATCGCCAACGCCTCGTCTGGGTTGGGGAGGTATTGTGCGGGGATACTGGCCGATAGGATCGGACCGATGAATGTTATGATTCCGTTTACGACTGGGGCGGCCATTGTCACGTTCGCGTGGCCGTTTGCAGTGAACAAAGGACGAATCATTGCCATTGCGCTCGTATATGGGTAGGAGGTTCTCGAACACAATTTTATGCTGATGCTGATCGTGTTCTGTGATTTTGAAAGGTTCGCTTCAGGCTCGTCTGTGTCGCTGCTGGCCAACCCGGTCTTGGAGGTTGGCGACGCGACGGATGTAGGGCAAAGGATTGGAATGTTGATGAGTATTTTAGCGCTTGGTGGGCTCGCTGGCCCGCCAGTATCCGGTGTGATCAATACTAGGACGGGTGGATTCGAAGCGGTGGGGTATTATGCAGGTAAGAGGTTTTCACGAACCTCATCGACGCATTCGGTGCTCACGTTCTATCGTAGGGAGCGCTGTCCTGGTTGGTGTGGGTTTGATGCTCGTCAGTCGCTACTGTACTACCGCGACCGTTAATTCACATAACGCGTCACAGGGCCCCGTGAAGTGAACTAATTCGGCTTCCATAACGCGTAACAACGGTAAATTTTGTCGGGATCAGCCCAAATGCGGAAATTTTCGCCGCCGCCTCCCGCGGCTCCCAATATGGTCTATGGACCCTGGATGAACTACTGGTAATTTAGTTCACAATCATAACGCGTAACATGCCGTGAAGATCCGGTCGCGTTAGTACAGTATTGCGGGTTGAAAGGCATAGTATATGGCAAGTTCTAAAGCAGAGTAAGCTTGGAAGATCAATTCATTCGCGTACTAATATTTGATCCGGTTTCTGCTCTACCTCCTTAGATACACCCCCACCACTGTCGTTAAATTTTAGCTTCTGTTAGTTTCCATTTTGTCTTGCTCCTGGATACGATACCATGTTGTGCTACACTGCAATTAAGAAAGCATACCCCAAGGCATCGGTTCAGTGGTCTAGTGGTCATGATTTCTGTCTCACATGCTGATTGTGCATTGTTCACAGAAGGTCCCCGTTTCGAGCACGGGCTGAACCAATTTTTTAAAGGATCCCCATTGCCCAGTTTCATATCACCCCGACCCAGTGGCTTTCTGATTTCAACGCAATCGCCGTCGCTATTGTCAATAAGTCCTATTTGCGCCCAGCAATACCAGGAAAACGTCCTTTTTGGTACCTGACATTCTTGCTCTCCGGTGGCTGTTGTATAACTCACGGAACCGCTGTACACAACCGTATCATCTGCTGAATACTTAAAATTCTGCCTACAATACCTAACCCTACATCGCCCACTGCCCCCGCGCCTAATTTTTTGTCGAGCGTTACGTTCAAATATTCGGATGGCTTGTAGCAAGGTTTTCGCTCGGCTCCTGGTAAAACTAAAAGAAGAGGTGCAGGGGAATCCAAATAGTCGAAGCGAAACGAGACTGCGAGCGCGGACGATGACTCGAGTAATTCACTCATGGCCTGGGAGGTATGCTTAAGACGCCTGCAAGGAACGGAGAAATCACTCACTTTATCCCGTGTGGCATCGGTATCAATTTTGAGTTTCTTTGATCGTCGCCTTGAAAGTGCGTTGTCCGACTTCCTCTTTCCTAGAATAGTGTTTTCTAACAACGGAAGGCGCATTGTCGCATCATAGACCGCAGCGACAGTCAATGCCGTCAGTATCGTTCCGTAAGAAGGATCCGTGCTGGTGCATACGTCGATAAGATTGGACAAGAACAGTGTTTGCGACTGGCGATGGCGAATTCCAAAGCGAAAGAAATTGCCACAGTCAAAGACAAGAAACGAAGCATCTACCTTCACTGCTGTTGCCCATGCCTGAAGAGCATGAGTTCGCAATCAAAAACAAGAAAACTGAAGAATGCACCTTTTGAACGTAATCCACACAAAACGGCCTATACTCTCCATCTTTGTTCGGTTTGTCGACGAGATGAATGTCACCTTTATGGCACACGAATGGGATGGAGGTGTGCCGAAGGCGGCTACTACGACGTGGAGCCTTAGTTTTGGGCAACGTCCATAGGCTCTTCGGGGCATCCACAAAGGTCGATGGGACGTCGGGAAGAGGGACTTCACAGCGCGAGTGCAGCTTCCACGGAAACATATCTATGGTTTCTAAAAGTGACATGTCTTCCAGTAATGGCAAGGCGTCCGGACAGAAACATACACATGATGTCAACTGAGGGACGTGGTTACGAAGACGCTCGTAGAAATTCCTGTTCTTTCGGCTGAGGACAGCGATTTGCACATCGCCTGGCTTTAGCAGTTGTAGCGCTAGGTTCTGGGATGCGTATTCCTCGTTGATCATGGTAGACTGCAGGTCATACAGAGCATTTGCCCATATGGGTAGCGCACGTACTTCGGGCTGATTCGGGTGGAGGAGAAGATTCGATGCCAATTGGGACGCTGCTACATCGATGGTTATTCGCCGTGCTTTTATGAGTGACAAAGCTCCTGCGTGCTTTTCATACTCGTAAAACCCGCGCGTCGGAAACAAAAAGTATGAGTCATTGAAGGAGTCGGGGGTGGACGAAAAGATATCCAAAGCGGCGGTCAAGTCAACGTGCAGTTCTGGGACGTTCTGAACACGCTTGAGTATGAGGCTCGCGGAGATATGATGATCCAACGGCTGAAGCGGGCATGAGGGCACAGGAGCACGTGGGTCTATCTGGATGGGTGTTGGATTGTAGGAGAAGAGTCTTTGGCGATGTTTTGAAGATGAGGACGTGGTCGACATTGCCAAGTGAAGGCGGAGTCCGGACCAAAAGGTCAACATTGAGCATACCGGGTGATACGGTCCGGCCCATCAATGACACGTCAAGTCCTTCCTCCATTGGATCAATCAGACACTTGCGTGATCTCCAGTATCGCGGCTGTAGTCGATTGAACTCCTTGACTATGCATCCTCGTCGTTTCTGTTTCTTCCGTACGGATGGAGTCAAGGGCCCGTTGTCCCTTCGCAGATGCTATTAATGTCGCCTTGATGTTGTGTGTCTATATCCCCCTGATATCCCCGAAAATAAACAATACGAGTAGCACTGGCGGCTATTGTTCCTTGTATTCCGTTTGCAGCCTTCTTGTTCAACGCCACTATAAGTATCCAGGTCTGCCCTCACGAACCCATACCACTCCCCGCCCACTCCTACTACGCTGGTACGTGACCGTTTTGGACAATAGTCGCGCATCATCCCATTATTAGCTGATAAAGATGTCTTGGGACATGCCTGAGACGATTGTGGAAGCGCTGGTGACAAAAATGTCGAGTTTTAGTAGCGCGCGCGAATCTCTCTCCGCCGTAACAAGTCCCCTAGCCACCTTGGCCAGTCGAAGTACTGGCAACGGAATCCACAAGATGAACGATATTCAATGCGTCCTCGGACTTCACGTGTCTCACCTTCATGCCGAACTGCAACTAAAACATGTCCAACCCATATCCAATCTGCCTCCTCTCCTTGCCGAATACATCAAGCAGCATCGTAACGTCACTAGCCCTATGCCTAGTGTTCACCCACTGACTAGACAAACTCGATATGAGCGAGCACGACACATCGAAACTATCTCTTTTGAGTCAGTAGAACTACTCCGCGACGGTCATGATGACAGGGAGAAAGCTTCGGCAGCTTTCGCTTCAGCCCTCGCAGGGCAGTCAAAGTCCGTCTCGAATCCTGGCTTTCTTCGGTGGTCTCATAATGCGCAAACCGTCCTTCCTGGGTCCGAGTCTGCTCTTGCCGGCGGATACATATCCATTGACCCGGAACTCTGTGGAATGGATGCAGCGTTGCGCAAGTCTATGCAGGATGACTTGGCTACCGTTGAGGACCTGCGGCTTTCCGACATCGTGGTGATAGATGTTAAACCCATCTGCGCTCCCCTCAATGACTCATTTCCTCTCGATGTCATAGCAAGTCGCTCGTCAGGATATCGACCTTGATTCATTTAACTGTGGCGGACCTTCAAGTCCCCATTCGTCATGCCGTTCAGAACACTGCGAGCCGACGCCGGGACCCGAACAGGATCATAAAAGGACGGTGTCAGGTCGGCCAACAGGCGTTGATGGAGATCCTGCTACCGATTTGATACGGCAGGCGCTTTTGACGGACAGGGCTTTTAAGCCTATCGCTATGGATGCGAAGCGGTTAATCTCCTTACTACTTCTTGGGGTACGAAGTCCGATTCATTCGCCCTTGCCGACTAATATAATTCTGCACGCAGGCATGGGCAAAAGCCGTTGCGTCCGATTCCACCTGCATCGTGATTAGTGGCGGAAACAAGGAAATTATCTGCATTCGCCACCGTCTTACCCAAATACTTTATGTATCAGATGTTTTGGATGTTACGCGAATACCTGCACGCTCTCCTGGACATCTCGCTGTTCATACTGGCTTGAACTTGTTTGCCCTGCGTGATGCAATCAGCCGCGCACAAAAAATCGATCAGCTACGGCGGCTCGGTGCCCTTCCTGCGACCATGACCTTTGACTATGGGAATGAGATCGACCCTTTAACTTCAGACTTGGCATTTCAGAACTTGAAGCCGTTCTACGATGCGTCAATAGGCAAATTTTTGTCGCCGATGTTGACGGTTTGTCTTGTTCCCGCCACATCTGTGCTTGATTTCTGATGGAATATCTGAAGGATACCTTTGAATCGCAGCAGCGCCACTTTGCTATTGCATCTAAGATTTACGTTCACTGGGATGCGAAAGCTATTGGTGACATGCCACTTCTATTCACATTCGAAAATTCCACTTCGCCGTTATGTTTGACTCCAGAAGACACGTGGACTGCTGGAAGGCCTCTCCACGTCAGGTTACACTCTAAGATCCTACATGGATCCGGAGTCTTCTTGTCTCATCTCATTCACGACCCAGACAGTGACAGCACCGAAGAAAACGCTGGAAGCCCTTATGGAAGGCCGTTTGTGATGAAGATCGTCTGGGGTACCAATACCCGACACTCTAAAATTCAAGAGGAAGTCGGAATCATGCGCAAGCTGTCTGACTTTGCGTACGTCAATGATCCTGATTTTTCGCAAAGGATTCCAAGAGTTTACGCTGTTGGAACCAATGACTCTCTTTCTCGAGAGCACCATTTAATTATATCGGCGTACTTTATGGAACACTTCGAGGAAGCCTATCCGTTGGCGTTAGCCGACGATATCTCTCCACACTTCCGGTACGAGGCTCTGCTCATTTCAATACTTAAACTTACCCGCTCAGCAGTTCGATACTGGAAAATTGGATGCATAGGTTGCATGACGAATACTCGATCGTACATTGTGACTTGTCAGGCGAGAATATTCTCTTCAGGCCGTCCGAACCTCAGTGTTTCTTTGTTGTTGGATGGGGTCGCGCGTTGAGCATCGACGATCCCTGGCCGTTCAATGGAGGCATTGACCAGAATGCCTTGAACAGAACACTTGCAGCCGTGACGGACAAGAAGAATCGGCGTGAAATGAGGGAACATGGTCCTTTCTCCCCTCGAACACGCATCTCCTACTTGTTTGACAAATAGATGAATTGACCAGATATGCTCTCGAGATAAGTATGGTCGCTGGAAAGAGGCAAATCATGAGGACTCAAGCCACTGACCAGGTACAGTACGCTCGCCTGGTTCCCCAAATCTACGAGAGCGCACGTCGATCCATTCTCAGTCTCTTGACTACTGTAGCCACCATTTTTCAACGCTGTGACGTGCAATGCTGTCTGCGTCAATAAGCGTAAGACCGATGATCAGAGCTCTCCAGAGCTCCCTGACTGGGATTGGCGTGGTAGGGCACGGTTTACCCTAACGCGAGCCTTCCTAGCCGAATACTTACTTAGCGCGATCGGAAGCCGCTTTCCGCTTCTCTTATCCCCGTTATCTCAACAGTTTTGTTGATTGAAATCACTACATCCAAAGTACTTAAACCCCGTACATGTCATGCAGACTTGTAACTTGTAACGCCGCAGGACGACGGAAATATCAGACCATACGCGGTCTCACGTGGCACCACCACCACCAAGGCCCGATTACGAAGGCGGGAACCCGATGTC